CCAGATGCTAGAGCCCCCTCCCCGGCAGCTGTCTACCACCATCCACTTTCTGCATGAGGACAAGGTTTAACAACACCCTGCAGGGTGGGATCCCAGCCCACCTGAGAGCTTTCCTCTAGTTAAACACATTAAGCAGACAGCCACATCCCAAAAAGGTCGAGTAGGAAGTGTGCGCGAGGTGCCATCTGCGTGATGGGGAACGGGAGTCTAGACGGGCGCAGAATGAGGGTCCACACCTGCCTGGCACACCCACATCCGGTCCTAGGGACCGCAGTGGGGACTGGCAGTGAGGGTTTCTTCTGGAAGACCCGGTCAACAGCTGTGACACCCACGGCGGGGACGGCGGCTGGGATGTGGTTTCCTCCAGCGCTCAGGAGCACAGACTGACGGCGTCGCTCGGGAAGCACAGGGCAAAAGCGCACGGACCGCCACACAGCAGCCCTCGAGTGGCGGCGAGCTCATGCGTCGGGGGGGGGGGGGGGGGGGCAGACGAGACACACAGCACAGGCTGGGCTAATTAAGGAACAGGTGTCCTCTGCAAATTAGTTAGAGCCAGACTCGGCACCCGCAGGGGCCGGCATCCAGAGCCGGAAAGGACACCGCCGTGAGGCTGCCCGGTCTCTGGGAAGAAAGGGGGCGCGGGAGGAGAAACAGCCCCCGTGTTCCCATGGTCTAGCGGGGACAGAGTTCATCTCTGAATGCTGAACAGCCAAGCGTGGCACCTTCTGTTTTCCCTTTCCTTTTTCAAAAAGAAGAGATAAAAAGCCAAAAGACAGCCCATCCTCTTGGGTCTTCTGGTCTAGCCCACATGACATTATGAATTAGCTGGCTCCTGAGCAAGTGTCCAACCCCCAAATGCCATTGATCAGTTCAAACTCAGAATCTGTTCAAGGACTCTCCGAGCCCGACTCATCACAGGAGGCAGAGACACCAACTGCTGCAGACAGATGCGTTTTGTAAAAAGAAAAAATAAAGAACCATTCTCTGGTTTCTAACTAAATCTTCAAACTGGCCACTGGGAAAAAAGGTCTGAGACAGACCTGAGAGGGTGCAATGGGGGCCGCTCGGGTCTCTTCTTGGGTCGGTGAGTTTAAATGTGCACCTAAGGCCCCACGGCAACCTTGCCAGTCTTGACGGACGCAAGGCAGTTCACGCTGCTAATGAAGCCCCAGCAATGTTTGGGCGTGGCTCTTCCAGTGTCCTGTTGGCACTCCAAAGGTAACACGGCTGCCTCCCTTCTGTGTCCCCCATATAGGTTAAGCACATCACTCACCTCCAGTTGTGCCAGCTCCAAACTTCCAACAACCCCTCACTCCTTCCTTACTCTGTGCTAGTGCCTCGTGACTACTGTAATTTGGTGGCTTAAAACCACAGAAATGTATTTGTCACCATCCTGGAGGGGAAGCGGAGCATACAGCATGGGCCCCTGACCTTGTGTGGGTGGGGCTGTGGTGGGGGCACCCAGGTGAACATCACAAGACAAAATGATACCTAAAGTAAGAGGAATCAGGTAGGCAAAGGGCTGGGGAGAGTTCAGGACGATCCCTCGGGGAATCTGCCCCATCCTTCTGACCCTGTCCTCTCCCTCCTGGGCCCAGAGCCAGCTGGTGCCAGTGTCATCTCCCACACTCAGCCCCAGCCACACCTGCATCTTTCTTGTGCAACTCTCAAGGGCTTGTCATTTTGGAGATGACAAAGTCCAGTGGCCCATGATCTGGCTCCAGCCATCTTTTTCAACCTTGTCTCTGAAGACACTGCCCCCAGAACCTATTAGCCAGCAGTCCCAGGCTGCACTGCGAGTCTGATGTGCCCAGAGCCTCCAGCCGTCGGGCCTTTGCTCGGCAAGCTCCGCTTCTGCTGGCCAAAGTTCTACTCCTGGTCCCAGTCCAAAGTCCACTCCTGCTCCCAGCTGTTGTCTTCCGCTTCCCCTCCCTGGAATCAGCCATGCCTCCTCCCCCAGGGGTCCTCTCTGGCTCCGCCAGGGTAGCAGCTGTCGCTCCTGCACATCCACGTTCCCACAGTGCTGGGCACGGTGCCCCCCACGGGAGGGCTGACCCGACTGTGCACACCCCAGAGGACCGGGCTGGCAGGAGGTGGCACATTTCCTCCAGAAATGAGACCCAAGGCCCAGGGAATTGAGACCCAGCCCTCGGCCTGCCAGAGGCGGGAAGGGAATCCCCTCCTTAAAACCAGTCTGAGGGAGGTGGGAAAGGCTGGTGTGGGCTGCACTTAGGGATTCCCAGCACAGGACGGTGGCTCTGCTGAGACCCCGAAGCCCAGATGCTCATGCCCGCACGAGCTGGCTGGCGTCCGGGAACTGAAGGCTACCCGCTACCTCAGGCCGCCACCGTCCTGCTGGGAGTGGTTCGGAGCTATCTGAGCAGCCAGGCCTCAGCCACGGAATGGGAAAAAACACCCGCCACTCAAGACAGCAGGTCTTTGCCTCAGAAACCCTCGAGTCGGAGCGGCCGAGGCTGAGCCACACTCACCACCTGCCTCTGCTGTCTT